ATTTAGGTCTTGATCGATTTTGAGTTGATACTAGTATAGGGTGATAGACATGGATCTAGTTTCAGTTTCTTGCAGACAGATAACCACTTTTCCCAGCAACATTTGTTGAAGAGGCTGTCTTTTCCCCATCATGTATTTTTGGTACCTTTGCAAAAAATAAGGTGGGTAGAGTTACCTGGATTCATATCTGGGTCCTCTATTCTGTTCCAATATTCATGTCTGTTTTTGTGCCAGTACCATGCTGTTTTTATTGCTATTGCTTTGTAATGTAGTTTGAAGTCAGGTATTGTAATACCTCCAGCATTACTCTTTTTTCTGTATGCCTTGCTATTCGCATCCTTGTGTTTCCAAATGAATTTTTAGGGTAGATTTTTCAATCTCTGTGATGAAAAGTCATTGGGATTTTAGAATGCATTAACATGTAGATTGCTTTAGGTAATATAGCCATTTTTACTATGTTGAGTCTATCGATCCATGAGCACAGGAGATCTTTCCATCTTCTATAGTCTTCCTCGATCTTGTTCTTCAGGACTTTGTAATTCTCCTTGTAGAGGTCATTCACATCCTTTGTTAAATTTATTCCTAGGTATTTGATTTTTTTTTGTGGCTACTGTGAATGGAATTGTTTCCATGAAGTTTTTCTCAGTTTGTTCATTGTTGGTGTATAAAAAAGGTAATGATTTTTATAGGTTAATTTTGTATCCTGCCACCCTACTGTAACTGTTTATGATGTCCAAGAGTTTTTGGGTAGAGTTTTTTGGATTTTAATGTATAGGATCATATCGTCTGCAAATAAGCATATTTTGACAGTTTCTTTATCTATTTGTATTCCTTTTAGTTCTTTTTCTTGCCTAGTTGCTCTGGCTAGAAATTCCAGTACTATGTTGAATAGGAGTGGGGATAGTGGGCACAATTGCCTTATTCCTGATTTTAGGGGGAATGGTTTCAGTTTTTCACAATTAACTCTGATGTTGGCTGTAGGTTTGTCGTATATAGCCTTTACAATGTTGAGGTACATTCCTTCTATTCCTAGTTTTCTTAGAGCTTTTATCATGAAGTGGTGTTGGATCTGGTCAAAGGCTTTTTCTGCATCTATTGAAATGTTAAAGTGGTTTTTTTCTTTGCTTCATTGATGCTTGCTGTATACATTATAGATTTCGTATGTTGAACCACCCCTGCATCCCTGGATGAGTCAACTCGTCATGGGTGAATGATTTTTCTGATGTGTTGTTGGATTCGGTTTGCCATTATTTTACTGAGGATTTTTGCATTGATATACATTAGGGAAATTGGCCTGTAGTTCTCCTTTTTGGAGGTGTCTTTGTCTGATGACAAAGACATCAGATGAGAGTGATATTGGTTTCATAAAATGAGTTTGACGGTGTTCCTTCCCTTTGTATTTCATGGAACAGTTTAAGGAAAGTTGGTATTATTTCTTCTTTAAATGTCTGACAGAATTCAGCAGTGAATCCATCAGGTCCTGGACTTTTCTTTTTTGGGAGACTCTTGATGGCAGCTTCAATTTCATTTTGTGTTATAGATCTATTCAGGTGATTAATTTCCTCTTGGTTCAGTTTTGGGTCATTGCAAGTTTCTAGGAATCTGTCCATTTCTTTGAGATTTTCAAATTTGTTAGAGTATAGGCTCTAAAGTAGTCTCTGATGATTTCCTGGATTTCTGTGGTGTTTGTTGTTATCTCCCCTTTTGAATTTCTGATTTTACTGATTTGGGTTTTTTTTCTCTCCTCATTTTAGTCAGGTTTGCCAAGGGTCTGTCAATCTTATTTATTTTTTCAAAGAACCAGCTTTTTGTTTCATTGATTCTTTGTTTTTTTTTTTTCTTTCTATTTCATTGATTTCAGCCCTTATCCTAATTATTTCTTTCCTTCTGCTTGTTTTGGGATTTGTTTGTTCTTGTTTTTCTAGGAGTTTCAGCTGTAGTGTTAGGTCATTGATTTGAGATCTTTCTTGTCCTTTTGATATATGCACTCATGGCTATAAACTTTTCTCTTAGGACTGCTTTTACTGTGTCCCATAGTTTCTGGTAGGTTGTGTTTTCATTTTCATTAACTTCCAGGAAACTTTTAATTTCCTTTTTTATTTCATCAGTGACCCATTCAACGTTGAGTAACGTGTTGTTCATTCCTATTATTAAGAACATTGATTAGAATTGTGTTAGGAAAGTTTCAGTGCTTAGAGATAATAAACAAGCTCCACTGAGCTGGCTCCCACAGGCACTGGACATATATGAATTAATGAATGCTCCTGTGAAATATTACAATAATCTCTTTCATCAATAATTTCATATGTAGGAAATCAAAGAATAGTTAAATAATTTTCTCAAGATCATGGTACCACTCATAGGACTAAAATAAGAACCCCCCCAAATCTGACTTCAGACCACATTTTCTTAGCTACTCTGCTATAAAATAAAAATTTACCATATAGCTTGTCCAAGATTAATGTTTCCCAGATATTTAGATATCATTCTAAGGTAGACAATTCTAATAATGTCAAAAATGATCCGAACAAAATCACTATTGCCCAAACTTTGTGCTGTGTCCTCATTTTTCTCACTTTACTGCTTCCTGATAGTAGTGCCTTCATAGATGGTAATGGCAAATACACTGGCAAGTAAACCTTTTCAGTATATTATGCACTCTGCCATGAATCTTTCCACTTCCATTTGTCTTCTTCTAACTAAAATGGGTTTTAACATGCCCTGGGAGTTTATATGCAGCAGTAGGGCATCTTTTGTTCCTTATAGAGATGAAAACATGATCATTTCACCAGCTGACCTGCACTTGGGGCATCTAGGCAAGAAGCCAGTAGCCTCAGAGAATTAGACTAGGATGAAATCCTCTTGAGTTCATATCCAAGATGGTACATTTTTGTGCCCTGAGGGACCAAAGGCAAGGATAAAGCTGATTCTGTGTAACTGGGTAACTCAAATGACAGTAGCAGGAATAAACAACAATATTTGAGGCTATGTTAAAACATGAGTAGTTTTTCAAAGGGGAAGGTTGAATTTTTGCTCTCTCTTTTGCTAAAGATTTAGTACCAAATCAGTTTTAGTATTCATTTTTTTCTGATAGCAGATAAAAGCACATTTTCTTGCACTTCATCACATGCTAAAATGTTTACAAAGTAGAACACAAAAGAGAGTAAATATATTTGTTTTCTCTCAATGTAAAATCAAAGAAATGAGACTATTTCAACATAAATAGCTTTAATTATGTCTTCTAGTTTGTCCATTATATTTTCACATTCAAATCATTTCATATTGATAATATAGAATGCATATACTGATTCATGAATCTCCTTTTATTTCCCCAATTAATTCACCATCATATTTGAATAGTTATTCATCTTTCCTGTCTTCTGAGATACAAGGGCCAAAGTATTGTTCCTCCATTTAAAGACAACCCCCCTTTCTGTGCGCCTTTGGATGCCACCCCAGTTGGCTTTCTTCACAACTTCTTCCATGCAATGTCCCTGATAAAAGTCCCTTCATTGTCATCTATTCCTCACCAGTGAGTATTTACTTAAAACTATTGTCCTGTAGGATCTCTCATAGTCCATGTGGACTGCTTTAACAAACAGGAACTGGGTAGCTTATAAACATAGAAATTTAGTTTTCAAAAATCCAGAGGCTGGAAAGGCCAAGATCAAGGGAGATTCAGTACCTGAGGAGGGCTCACTTTCTGACATGGGCTCACTCTTCTGCCATTCTCACATGGCAGAAGAGATAAGCAATCTCTTTGGGGTTTTTGGTGATTAGGTACCAATCCAATTCACAAAAAGTCTATGCTCATAACTGAATCAAATTTGAAGACCCCCACCTTCTAATATTATCTTAAGGATTAGTGTTTCATCATGTGAATTTGGAGGACACACAAACTTTCATACCATTAAATGTCTTACTTTAAAACAAAACAGAGTGAAAAACTTATTTCCCCTACTTCTTTTTCCATTCACTTTCATTTCAAACTTTCTTGAGAACTTTAATACAGAACAGAATTTCTTGAGAACATTACATGAAAGATGAAGGATATGATAAGATCAATGAGATAAAGAAAATGTGGAGAATTAACAAGTTTATTTTTAAGTGAATATGCTTTTAGGTAAGGAGAGACCATAAGCACATGCATTTATATACTTTCCTCTCTTGCTGTAGTTCTCCATCACTGCATTTTATATTGTCAAAAACTTGACTTTAAATATCACATACTTACTATCTCGGAGTTTGGCCAGAGATCTGGGAGGGGTTTGCTAGAGTCTCTGTGATACAGGTCTCTCACAGACTGAACATAATATGTCCTCTAGATTCTTATCATCATAAAACTTGATATAGAAAGAACTGACTTACAAGTTTATGTGATTACTACAAGTATTCAGCTTTTTGGATACTTGGATTAAAGACTTCAATTTGTTTTTGCACACAGGCCTTTTGAACATGACAGTTATTTTCCATTAGAGTCGATAAATTGATAAGACAATACAGAATATGTGCTAACAACATGGAAATTATAATCATTAATGACCTCAGCATGAATATGATATCCCATTATCTATTCCTCTTTTTATAGCTTAGAACTATATCACTAACCCATATTCAAGAGGAAGAGACTATGTGTGACTATCTAGAAGTGAAGACCTTTGGGGCTATAGAAATTTGCCTATACTCATTTTTCTAAGTTCTAACCATGGAAAGATCAAGCAAAATTCTTCTAGGAAGAATATGTTATAGCAATCATGACCATATAAATGCAGTATTTAAAACTCTATCAACACAGTAATTTTTTTTTCTTTTATTCATATGTGCATACAATGTTTGGGTCATTTTTCCTCTTTCCCCCTGCCTCTTCCCTTCCCCCTACCCCTTTCCTCTCTCCCTTACCACCCTTGCTACCAGGAAGAAACTAATTAAGAGCATAAAATAACACACGAGCCACCAAACACAAAGTGATAAAAACTTTAATGAAGTAAGGTTTGGTGACCATGCCTATAATCCCAGCACTGTGGAGACTGATTCAGAATAACAACTTTGAGGCCACTCTGGGTTACCTAGTGAGATCCTATTTTAAACAAACAAACAAAAATCCAGAAATATATAATGAGCATGTTGACAGCACAATTTCAAACTATAAGAAAAAGTCATATATATAGTCTTCTTTAACTTTTTTCAATACACATAGTGGAAAAGAGAAGAATGATGACAATGAAATAAGAATGGGACCAGATTGTGCAGGAATGGTTTAAGAATGT